TAAAAAAAAATGTTAAGCACGCATAAAAGTTAAATTAGCGATTGTCAAACTCATAGCAAATACTAAGTCTGCCTGTCTTTACAGGACTTTTGCTGGATTGCGCCGTTTTTCATGCGTCCAACGCCCATGTCTACGCAATATGGCCGCGATGTTAAGCAACGAAAACTTTTCTCGTCTAGCGCTTGCAAGCGAAACTGTTTAATTTGTGCTGTGCTGTGCTGCGTATTTTAATTTAATTTTACTTTAGATACATATGTATTTACTTTCATTGCGTTGTATTTTTGGTTGACACGCAGTCATCGTTGCCAGACGCTTGGCGGGCGATCACGATCACTTCACGTGATTCATCTATGATACGTCGCCCATGTGGCGAGGTAATATACTCTACATAATTGTAATGTAAATATAGTACATGCACATAATACATACATACATACCTACATACTTAAGTGCATGCATGTGTGTGTATACTCGTATAAATAAACGCACACAGTGATCTTCGTTGCTTTCTTATTTATTTGTTTAATATTAATACTTAAATTTTCGTGTTTTTGTATGAACTTGCATTACAAGTGAATGTTTGTTGTACAACAATAAAAAAAATCATTGTTTTATTGCGTAAAGCGTTTTTATCGTGAATTTTGTGTATACGCATGCATACATACATATATATAAATTAGGGTGGGTAAAAAAAAAAACAAGTGTTTTTTTTCTTTTGGCAGTTTTTTTTTTCTTTGACAGTAGAGAGCTTTGCAATTGAAAATGATTTTTAACTCAATGATATAAAATAAAAAATAAAAAAAATTGCTTTGAAATAGTCAAACTTCAAACATTAATATCTTTAAAACGTTTAGGTTTGTGAAAAAAACGTAAAAGACCATTCTATTTTTTTTTTAATTTATTATTATTATTTTATATACATAATTTTTCTATCCAATCATAAGAAGAAAATAGATAACGGTAAAGCGGAGGACCTTCACGTTACAATCTTACTTACTATCTTAGAGGTGTCGACCAACCAATTTTGCGAAGTACCAAGTGAAAAAAAATTTTTTTTGGCACACCCTAATATACATATGTATATACTACATATTTATGTTTATACTTTTTGTGTCTGTAGCATAAAGATATTACACGGTGCGACTTTACAGTTGATTCGTGCATACTCTAATAAAAGAATATATAAATACATACAAATATATGGATGTATGTAGATATGTGGAAATGTGTTTTTATATATATTTATGTATATAGTCTTAGGTAGCATAAACTGCTTGCTTATCGTTACATTTTATCAATCGTGCATGCGATAACTCATAATATGAGTACATACTTATGTTCAAATATGAATTATGAAATTATTACAGTTCTAGATAAAATAATTAAATTTTAATTGCACGCTCACACAACGCTTTAATTTTTTTATTATCGGCATAAACTAACTCTAATATTTCTGAAAAAAAAAAAAAATATTTTCCAGAACTCATGACTAAGAATTTTAACCGAAAAGTTCTCCGATCTTTCCATAGAAGCATTAACAAATATATATTACTATAAATATTATATATAAACGATCTGACCCGATTGCTTACAAAATTTGTGTGTCAACAATGTAACGGAAATGCGACAGCATCATCTCATGGCATGAAAAATCATTAATGTGAAAATAATTTTACGCAAATTGACGCAAATTGTGATTTATGCGAGTAGAGAAATTCGCTGAATTCAATTTCTCCACAGCGCAGGCAAATGCCAGAGAAATTCATTAATTTCAGCGTTTTATTAATAGCCACCTATACTGGACATGTATATATGTACATATGTGTGACTTTTTGCAGCGCCATTTTTTATGGTGTATACAGTACATACATACATACATACAAAGAAACATAAGCAGTACGTGTTGCTTTCCAATAGCCTTCGGCGCAGTTTAAGCGCCGGCAGTAAAAATCCAGTTATCAGCGCGCCACTTTTAGACTCAATAAATGATTACAACAATGATTACAATAATAATTACGATAATGCAACATTCGCAGCTAGTTTGTGAGCAAAAGCATAAAGCTTTGATTGCAGCAATTACAATGCATTTACATACATACATATGTATATATGTGTGTCTATGTATGTATGTATATGTGTAAGTATGTCGTTGTTTTGACTAGTTGTATACCGGGAAAAACAATTTGTTTGACATTTAAAAAACCGTTCATCATCACAATTAATTTATGAGTATTGGAAGAGGCATGCGGCAGCGGTTGCAGCACACGCGCGTGTACAAACACACATTGCAGTGCAAAGTTGTCGCCGAATTGTAGACCAAAGTTGTTGCAATCAGCAACAATTATTTTTGCTAGAAAGCTTTTTTATAAATGAAATTTTTTATATTTAAAAAATATTAAAAAAAAAACACAAAAACGCTTGCTTTCCGCACATTATTTCAGTGTTTGTGGCTAAATTTAAGTAATCAAGGCGGAAAGGGTATTATATACACCACTATATATATATATGTTTAACACTATAAGCCGAGTTTTCATTTATACATACATATATATGTACATACATGTATATAAGTATAAGTATTTGCAGCCACTGTATTTTATACGCGCAAACGTTAATCTTTGCAATTAAGCGCCTTAAATGCAGTTGAGCGAATGTTAATGCACGCGATCATTAACAAATGTTGTCATTGATATAAAAGCGACCGCAGTTTGGTGTGAATTCGATAATGAGTGAAACAAATATACATACATACATATATTAATGCATGCATAAGGTTGTATATTTTAATATTTTTGTGACAATAATACACTGAAACATTTATGGAATGCACATAACCACACGCATACATATACATATCAACGCTTGTGCGCAGCAATTGTTTAATATTTTTTTGTTAATTTTAGCAGATATTTGTGGTTTGAGTGTTTAGCTTTGGGCTCATGGCTTATTTGCGATAATTGATAGCTAAATGCATAAAATATGTCTTGCGATTTCTGCAATGGACAGGATAAGACCACTTTTATACTACTATACAAAGATATTAAAAAAAAATTTTTGATCTATACGATATACTCGTATCCTATGGCTACGTGGGCCTTAAAAATATAATATTTATGTATGTACATATTAAAATGTGTTCTCTTACTTGAGAATAATTTAAAAAAAAATTGATTTTTATTAATAAGCTGGTATATCATGGCAAAGTATGTACATACCTATATATATATGTATATAAATATATTAGGGTGGAGCGAAAAAAAAATATTATTTTTGCTTAGCCTGAGTGTAAAATCTGTAGATTATAAAAAAATAAAATTTTTGGATAAAAAAAATATTTGTTAACTTCTAGAGGCGGCCCAATTAGTTTTAAAGTAAATTCTCGAGTTAAAATTTTTATTTCGTAAAAAAATTTTGATAACTGTTCTAGAAGCTGTGGAGAGTCCTCTTTCTGGCCAATTAAAAGCTATCTAATTAAACAAATTTTTTGTGGTCATTTTTGGAGTTTTAAAAAAAAGTCTGACACGACAACATGCTTTCCTTAAGCGTTAAAATAAGTTTTGAGTCAAAAACCGTCACATGCGGTAATTTTTATATAAATGTAAAGTGTTTAAACCAAACACTTTTTTTCGCTCCACCCTAATATACATAAGCATTTTAACAAAGGAATTTGGTACTACGTTTATAAAAAAATATTACACAAGCCATAATAAATATAAATACATTTTACGAGTTATTTTGTAAAAAAAAGGAAAATTAAGTGAAAATTCAAAAACAGCCAACGCAATTTTGTTTTATTTGTAGAATAACCAAGCATTTTTATGGCGCACCACTTTTAACCAAGTCTACAAGAGACAGAAAACATTGACTGGGAAGGTCGCTCGAAAATTACAAACCAAAAATAGCCGCGAAACATCCGCCGCTTACAAAAAAAGATAATAATAATAATAATAAAATCATGCATTTCATCAACATTTGCAGAACAACGCATTGACTCATCTCGAATGATTCCCGACAGTTTGAAGGAAAGAGAAATTTATGAATATACTGAGTGCGGCGAATGCCATTTGAGTGAGTGAAAGCGACCTTCTGCTTATAGCGCACACCCGCCCATTTCTGTTGCCTTCAAATTTTGCTATTTAAACAGCATTTGCTTCCTATTTTGTTTAATAGTTTGTCATAGCGGCTGACAGCTGCTGACGGCAATGACGTTTCTACGCTGACTAAAGGCTAAATGCCAACTTTCGAAATTTTAAATAAATATATGGCTTGAATGACAACTGAAACTGTGGCAGATTGCAGGCGCGTTGAAATAAATATTACATGCCATTATTAAAACCAAAAAGGCGACGAGCAGCCGTCTGACACACGTAGGAATGTGTGTCTATGAGTTAATGTGGCACATTTTGCAACGCTTTATAGTTTTGCGAGAAATGCAATAACGTCACCCGACTGGTGCGCCACCGCCGTCGCCTATTTATAACGCTGGGCTACAAGCGTTGGCGTTTGCGTCAAACTAAACTAAGCAGTTGCGGTAAGATGTGGCACAAACACTACACGGCCGCACAGCCCAGAGCGCCTATTGTGTAAAAATAGCGAAAATGATTTATATAGTCTAAGCGCACGACAACCGAAGACCTGCACATACACACATTCAATGCGATAGCGCCAAGCTGGTGTCACATTTCCGCTATTGCAGCACCAAACCGCCGTTGCGCCACCACACGCCTACAAAAAAAAAACGCGACTAATACATAGCGCACGACTCGAACCAAGTATGCGGCGCTACCATTAAATGGAACGTAATGCATACCACAGTGTTTGTGGCCCAACGCGGCGTATGAGTAACCGCCAAATAAAAGTAATCACTGCACGCTTGCTATCATATCGCAGCTCACAAAAATTAAAAAATAAATAATAACAAATGGCAACAACAATAAGTAACACAGCTACTGCACTTTGAGTTGTATCAAATGTACAGCAATATTTCTTGGTCCACTCACCTTTGTCCATTGCATTTGCAATTCGTGCATTCAGCCAACGCGCCCGCCGCGTCGCTGTTGCGACTATCGCTGCTGCTGTTGCTCGCTGTGGAGCGGTGTAGGCAGGATTTGCGGCTAAGGCAAGACTTCGGCTGCAAATTCATGATGGGGGCGGAAAGCGTGCGCGGCAAGCCGCCGATGACGCGGCTCTCATGGCCTTTGCCGTAGCCAGCGGTGACGGTGGTGGGCAGACGCGCCGACTGCTGCTGATGTGTGTACTGCTGCTGCGACTGCGGCAGCTGCATTGGCTGCTGCTGGTTCAGCTGATGGCTGGCGAAAGCGGCGGCGGCGCTATTGGCCATGGCCTTCGAGGCGAGTGTGATCACTTGGGGGCGACAATAGCGCGACGCTCTGTTTGTTTCGTCATTGTAACTGGAAGCAAGAGGAAAAGAAAACAGACAATTAATACGTAAAAGTATACAAAATATATGCATACAAATATTATATAGTAAAATATTTTATATTATAAGCGCTTAAATAAAAATATCGTAAATTACTTTGGCTACCATGAGCAAGCTAATTTTTTAAAATTTTACGGATTTACAATATGGCATTCAGATGTAAGCGGTTTTTTCTGGGTTGGCTTCTTATTATTGTGGGATCCCCCAGGGCATAAAGAAATTTTAATTTTTGGTTCGTTCTTGCGGAAAGTATAGTATTTATTACATTTATATTCATTTAATAAATTATTAATATTTAAAATAATAATAAAATGCGTTTCCTCAATTAAATTGAAAAATAATGAGAATCGTTTATTTCAACAAAATAACACCATATAAGTATTTTTTGTTGCTTTTTTAATTATATTTTCTTAAAGTTGTTTTTGAAGCTGTGAAAATGCTCATACAGTTGGAAGATGGACACATTTTGTAAGAAAATGCTCGAAACGTAAACTTTTTACGCATTTGGCACAAATTGGCCAAGCAGCTTGTCAAAAAACTGGGCAACTGTCGCTGGATTTCCGACAGTGCGGTCACGACTAGCCGTTTAGCATGCCACATTAGCGAGAACAATTTACAAAAACATAGGTTGAACTAGATTTCATCAAAAAACAGGAAAAACAACAAAACCAAAAAAAAAAATACAGAAAAAATGCAAAATAAAAATCCTCCAAAATTCTAGACGGCATCTTCTCTGCATATCTAGCTGCAAGTATTTTTCACCCAAGCAGAAGCCAATGCAAGCGCTCATAAATTTGCTGCGCGTGTTGTCGTTAACCTTTATAGACCCCGCAACCAAATTAAAAACCGTCAACAATAACAAAGCCAGCGCAGAAATTTTAAAGATAAAAACTCGCACAAACAGCACACATACATACATGTGTATATATATGCGCGTAATAAAGCAACAAACGTAACTTAGCAAAACAAATACCACAAAAGTGAACTAAAAAGCTGCAGAAAATGCGAAAAATAAAATAAGTAGACATAACAAAAAATAAATCTTCGGGAGGCACGTAGTCCCCAAAAACAAATTAGCCGGTGGGTTCGCAAAGCGTAAACAACATTTCTGCTGCTGCAAGTGGCCAATGACGTCGTTAGATGTGTGGGCCTACTGATTAACTACATATCAACTGCGGCGGCATTTTTTGCCGGCGCTGATAAACCTATCAAATAATTACAATAAAAAATAGTCTGCGAAAGTTTGCGAAAGTGTGTGTATGCGTATGTTTTGAACAACTAATAGTTGTTGGCTGTCTGTGTATGTTTTGCACTTTAAATGGGCAACGAATTGGCGCACAACAAAATAAAAAAAACTAGAACTTAATGAAATATTGTATATAAACATATATATTGCTATATTTATATTCTTAATTAAAAAACTATTGGCAACGACGCGTAACCAGAGCAAGGACTTTGAAATGGAAATTTTTTTTTTTTTTTAATTTTTGATTGTTTTAAGTTTTGAAAAATATGAATGATATGTACAAAAATCGAATAAGCATCAGCTTTCGGATCTACATACATGCATACATTTTTTGTGTGAGCTAAAGATTAATATTGACGAAATTTTTTTACATATTTTAAAAACTCGTCATATTATTATGAAATCGTTGTTTTACAAAATCATGTAGTATATTTTAGACATAAAACTAGAAAATTTACATAATTGTCACTTATTTTTGAAATATGGTAACAATTATGAGAAAACGTTATCAAATAGAAACAGCAGCTAAACATGAAAACAGAAGCAAATTTTTTCGATTCTGTTTATTATGCGCAATGCCAGGCCCAAGGTAATTAATATTTATTATGGCACATAAAACATTTTATTTTTTTAAATTATTATTTTTTTTTGGCAAATATACTGCGGAATAACCTTCAGTACTCAAACGTAATACAGCTGCTTTCCGCGCGCTTTTTACTAGTTAGACCAACATTTTAAAGTGCACTCGCAACTCACTTAAGCAAGTCGTGTTGAAAATGTATCTTATGCAGTCTCACTCCATTTTTGCCATTTGTATTACACTCCCAACTGTTGAGAAATTCTTTTTACAGCCACTAATTGGAAAAAAAATCGAAAAATCGAAAAATGCAACTGTGTTTATGCGCTTTTTGCAACTGTTTACAAGCAATATATACGGCTTTTATTTATGGTGTGAGTATTTATGCATTTGTATATAGGTATGTATGCATGTACGAGTATGTGTGTGCGTAAGTGTAAATCAACATGTGTCGATTTTGTGGCTTAACTTTTTCGAGCAGCGCTCATTTATGTGCTTGTAGACCGTCTGTCTGGCTTTCTCACTACGCCGCGGTGTGTAAGTATTGGCACACAACTACACTAAAGTTTATTTATTTATTAATTTTTTCACTTATTTATTTTTGTATTTGATCAAGATATGCGCGCAAACTTTGCTTTGACTTTAAAAGCGTTGACGAGCACGAAAATTATCAGCAAAGCGTTAAATTTGATTTTTTGGCTGTTTGCAGATGTATGCATGTGTGTGTGTGTGTGTAAACAGTGTCAAGTGGCGACATTAACCAAAAAATTATGGAAAATTGTTTAAAACAAATATATAAAAGTGTAAACAATTTCGGATTTCAGTTAGTTTACATAGCTTTTATTTACACATTATTTTTATGTATTATATATAAATGAAAAAAATAAAAAATAAAAAAAAATTGAAGAGCACACACCATTTTTTGAAACTATCACGACTAATTATAAGCACCATTTCTTGCAGCAGCTGCTTTGCGCAGCATACACACATACACACAAATAAGGCCTTGAAAAATGTTGTAGTTAGCAGCAGCAAAGTATTTTTATTTTTATGCTCAAAAACAATGTTTATCACAACAATATGATTTCAAAAGCAATTATCCGCTACTTTGTACAATTGGAGTTTGATGACTTTCGACAATTGACAATACGCATTCAAAAATATAAATTGTATTATATTTGTTGTTATATAAGTGTTTGTAGTAGTTGAAATTGCAAAGCAAATAAATTAACTTAAGCTCAAGTGATGATTAGACATTTTGCTAAAAATTATATTTATTTACAAAAAAAAAGGTATATTTGTTTTCTTATCTATATTTATATAGGTACTTATATAAGTGTTTCAGTATTTTTAATATTTTTCAACTAATTACTATTAATAACTGCACGTGAATTTTTAAAAATATTTGAAATTTTTACTGCTCTGCATGTGGCATACGTGCCTCTAATTAGACCATTGCATTATCAGATACATGCACACATACTCACATAAAAGCTTTAGATTGCTAACTTTTTAACTTCCCGCTAAGAAAATGGAAAATTTTCTAAAAATCGGGAAGATATTGGTTTCACCCCATTTTGCAAAAATCGAGTTCTCAACAGATCTCGACGTTCTGAGGGTCGAGGAAGCTTCCCCGAACATTTCTACGATGATGTCCGTATGTCTGTATGTATGTGTGGATGTATGTGTGTGTGTGTGCATGTATGTGACCCTCTTATAACTATTAAACTGCTCAACCGATTTGAATAAACTAAACGGCATTCCAAAGGGTTTCATTGCACTTGAATTTCGTGTAAGTTTGGACCCAATCGGACCAGTAGATTTCGAGAAATCTCAAAAATAATAATATAAACTAATCAGTTCTAAACCTTGAAGAAACACATCGTTTGCCGCAAACCGGGTCGAAATCGGTTGATTTACTTGCTAGATATCAAAAACGAAAAATTTCGAAGAGCTCAAAAGCAGTGAAAAAAGCGAAATTTGAACGTTAGCGTATGAAATTAGAGGGAAGTTGCAGGGATGGCCCTTGATCGTTTTCCACATTTTTTTCTACATTTTTTTAACTATACAGTGCGATTTATGATATTACCAAATTAGACTACACATTATTTGTCTGCCTTATCTATAAGTTATATTTAGCAGCTTAATAATAATATAATAATAAATGCTTTAGATATGGCGTGTTATCAGAGCATAACTTAAAAAAGTATGCATTCGTCACAACTAATTAATTCATTTGTATTAATTATTGCCAGCGCATATGTGTATGTATGTATATTTGTGTGAGTTTCTTCGTTGGAGGGTTTTACACGACAACTGCGTGGTTGTGGAGAGAGATTAATTGAAGGACTTAATTAGTGTTTCAAGTGCAATAACCGAAAAAAAAAATGATAATGGAGAAAAAAATCTATCAATTTCATTGGCATAAGTATACAAATAAGAGTTTATTAAAAAATATATATTTACTTCTGACTTTTTTAAATTTTTGAGCCAAGTCTAAATTGAAGCGAAACACGTATTGAAGTGAATAGACAAGCCACAATTTAGTTGAACAAGTTATATGAATATCAAAAATTCCTATATTTTATATAAAATATGGAAAAAACCACTATTTTCTACTAAAATTTATTCACTCAGCACGCGTCGCCATTAACAATAAACTATTAATGACTCGATAGTTTTAATGTGTTCAAGGTTTGATAGGAAATCCTTACAAAAATTTCTAAATTTTCACTGATTAATTACCAGACAGCTGATAAGTTAGTGAATATTATTATTTTAGCCTCGAGACGTCGCGTTCTGCCGCTTAATCGGCGCACTTTCAATTGATTTACGAAAACAGTGCGCATTGAGTAGGTTACTTTGGCTTTATCAGACACAATCTGAATGGCACGAGTGCTTACGCATTTTATTTGCCTATTGTTAGACACAAACAAATAGAAATTAAATTAAAAAAACATAACACAATTTCTAATGAAAGTGAAATGACAAGTTTGATTGAGTAAAACGACAGCAGCTCGGAGGGGAGCACCATATACATACATACCTATAAGCATATAACTAACAATTTAAGCGTAAATAACTACAATAACTTTATAAATGTGCATATGTACAAGCATATATGGTATTTATACATAACTAAAATACGCATTTTCTATTTATTTGGTGCAATATTCCTGGCGCAGTTTGTTACAATAATTTAGTTTATTTATGTAAAAATGGTATCTATTTTAAAACAAAAAAAAAAAAACAAGAAAGCAAATTAACTTCGTTTGCACAGAAGCTATAATACCTTTCACAAATAAAAAAATTTCCAAACAAAAACTTGATTTTGTTCGTTCAGTTTGTAGGGCAGCTATGTATATGCTATAGTGGTTCGATCTGAACAATATTTTTGTAGATTGTTGTGTAGTCTTGGAGTATAATTCATGCAAAATTTCGGGCACATATCTCGTCAAATAAAAAAGTTTTCCAAACAAAAACTTGATTTTGTTCGTTCAGTTTGTATGGCAGCTATATGCTATAGTGGCTCGATTTGTACAATATATTCGGAGATTGTTGCATTGCCTTGGGAAATAATTCATGCCAAATTTCGTGCAGATATCTCGTCAAATAAAAAAGTTTTCTATACAAGAACTTGATTTTGTTCGATATCTCAAAAATTGAGGGATTTTCATTTCTTTTATGTATACATTTTATCAGGTCTAAAGAATTCGCCTAAAATTGCCATACTGACTCATTCACGCGCTCTTTATCACTATAAAAATACATACTTGTATGTACATATATACCAACATACTTGACACTATCTATTCACATACATATGTATTTTCGCACACGCTGATTTCCCCAACTATCGCCTCTAACAACGATTTATATGCGACATCACATTATATGGCGTTACGTTTTTTATTAATTTCTAAATCAGGCAAGAAGGCAACTATATTGGCTAGTTATAGTAGTTGGCAGCCGGCTTGAGGCTGTCAGTAAGCCGGCCGAGCAGTCTGACTATTAGCACGCATCAGCCGCGTGCCTTATCTATAATTGTGTGTACATAGCTGTTACATATATGTACCTACATATGCATGCATGTAAGTATGTAGGTGCTGCAAGTGTTTACTGTCTCGATTTGCGGCGGCTGGGCGAGTTCAAGTGGGTGAGTTTATTAAATAGTGATTATGTACTTATAAGCTTCGGACGCACAAGCTTTGCTACATATTTTTAAGTTGCCATGATCTATTTTCGAGGTAATTTGTTGAATAAGTAGTGTGTTCCGGTTACGCTTGTCGCGATTCGCCGTTTTTTTTTTGTTTTGATTATACAAGTATATTTTATTGTCAAGCGTGGCTTAGGAGATTTAGAACACATTAAAATGAAATAAATTTCATAAGCCGATTAGGGAAATAAGCGAAAATGCATGTTATTATTTGTTTACAGTATTTTTTCAACGAAGTTGTATTTCAATAATATTGAAAACAAAACAGATTATAGCATTAATTTTGGCATTTCGCTGTAATCCTAAAAGTCTACCCAAGAGCAGTCTGATAGATGAAAGCGGAAACTTTTAAATCTGTAAGAATTATTCGCTATAAAAGCTGATAACACGACAAGCAGATTTTTCGATATTTCTTGGTAATTTCCATAGCTGTAATCTCTATCAGACGATCGATCATGCCAATGATCAGTTATAAATACAGCTTTGCCTAGCAATTAATGCACTAATAATGACGGCTACGCCTAGAAATTTGAAATAATTATCATGAAAGTGTTTGGCATAAAAGCGATCAGTGATCTCTAGATAAAGATATGATATGTTTGCAGCCTTTCCTACTAAATAAAATTTTGATTTTTTGCTCTTCATTGCTAATACACGTAATTAATAAGTACTTTCGAGGTCACTTCAAACGTATTGCCGTGGGCTTGTCACTTAAGCCAATGCCAAAACTTAGTCACATAACATAACATAACATGTGTATGTATGTATAGCAGGATCTGTTGATATTTTGTATACATATTCGATCCATAACTTTGATCTTGAAAGCTTTCTGACTCCTCTAATGGCACTCAGCAGTGTCAAGAGAAACTGCTAAGCCAACATGAGCAAAAAGCAGAAGATCCAATAAAACAATGGAACAAGTACTTATGCGCAAACGTCTGGCGGTTGACAAATGTGCAAACAAAACGAAAAGTCTCTCTATTTATAAAAATTTAAGATTTTGCAAACATGCTTTGTGTGCACGCCGCCAAATAAATAAATCCATGCGGAATTTCAAGCAGATCGCGTTAGCGCTGATTGCGTGTGGTACGTGTGCTTGGTAACAGAATGAATCTACATACAGATGTTTCGATGGGCGATTGTTTATATTTCATCTAAAACTATTTCACTGAGATTGCTATTGCTGTGTACTTAGTGCTGAATCAGAATTTTGTTTGATTTGCGATTAGAACATACACATGTCTACTTTGGCACGATCGGCGTTTGTTTGAGAGTTAAGTCATTATTGAAATCAAGATGGCAATGCTTTTCATAATAAACACTTGTGCTTATTGACATACTAACAATGTTACTAAGTAGTTCATTGTGGCATTTAAAATAAATCGAAAATATACCTCTGCATTTGTGTGTGCGAATTGATCCTGAGATCACTCTTCAACTTAATGTGACGCATTTGTGTGTGTGTGCTTAATAATAATAATTATTTACTATTTTCTTAAATGCACATAAATGAAGCCGCTTGCTTTTAAAATAACTGGATTTAAACGAATTATAATAAAATGCACGAAAACTTTTTGCACGATTACGTTGGAAAATTTTGCAAATATTTGAATTACTAAAAAGATTAGTAAATTTTCGTACAAAAGTTCAATACGACTCAAAGAAACACTATAACTATCAGCGTATTTCCCAGCATGAGCATATGACGGATTCACTTTCAAGCACGAACACTCGCCATACTATGACAACGTATTCACAATATTTGGTATTAATTGCCGACACTTTTCGTAAACACTGTATAGCAAACTATTTGTGCTGTATAAGTGCGCTGTGGCACATTTCGTTGCAATAATGTGTAATACTGCGCCTTTCACTAATTTTAGGACAGGCAGTCCTGTCTCAAAACAACTTTCTTCCTACACAAATTGGCATGTAATAATTTTCGTAACGTTCGCACTTCGATCACTCACCGATGATTGTTCATGTAGTCCGATAGGAAACTGACTGGTGGACTATGGCTAAAGATGGGTGGACTGTGTGAAATCATTTTCTCGGCTGCTGCTTTAATTACAATTGCTGCCTTATTGGCCGTTACTGTTGTTGTGATGCTTGTGGTTATACACTGCAGTCTATTATTGGCTGTCTACTGATATGATTAGCGACCAACGCTGTTGATGCTGAAGCGTGCTGCTTTCTCTACGCTCGTATGCTTCGTCAGCTGCTATGATAGTGCGGATAGTCCGGTCTTACCTTACTATCAGTAGTTATTATCGCTTCAGTAATTGTTTGTGCGTTTGAATATTTCTGCTGATATATATGTAAGTGTGTGTGTGCGCTGTAAGTAGAAAGGAAAAAGAGACGCATGAGTTTTACAAGTGATCTTGGCAACGTACAAACATATACACATACATACATACGTATATACATATATACAAATTCTTATAACTACACAATGCAGCTTCTTATCAGTGATAGTATATTCTTTAAACGCTAACGTACTATGAGGAATGCAATTATGAGTGAAAATATACATACTTAAGTGGCATAAAACAACGAAATTCATAGCGTTTAAAAACAACGATTTGCCATGATTTAAACTTAATTAAGTTTGACTATTTATATTGTATAATTTTATAAATAAGATGTAGCGATTTATGGCATGACTGAACAAGTCTTCCCGAGTGTAATTGGCGTTACTTGCCACAACAGGTTCGGTTGAAAGCTATCGTTTTTGGCGTGGTTTAATTGGCGTGAATTTCGCTTTTATTTTCCGGCTGTTTGAGTTTGTTTAGAAATATTTAGTTTGCTGTGTGATTCAGCGATGCATTTCGAGTTCTTAAAGTGACTCTTCAACTTGCTTATCACTTGTGCGCTGGAGTGAAATGTGTGTCTTGCGGTTTAAGCGGTCTGTTACGATCTTGATCCTCGAGCGGGTGTGTTCGTTAGCAAATGCTGCCTTGGTGCTGGATTTTGGTTCTTTATTATTAGCTTTACTTGCCTTTGAATACTCTGCATACTTAAAATTTAGACATACCTGATATTGATAAGTTTTTTAAGTTTATTGATACGATCACTATGGCAGTACATATTTTTAATTTGCAATTTTTAAATTTTCTATGAAATCTAGCATTTATTCTTAAAATTGCTTCCAAGATCGCTTATGATCTGTAAATTTTATAATTTGCAAATAAATATATATATATATAATATTTAGATATGTATATAGTTACTTAGTGAATTCTTAAGAAAACACTGTAGGTAAATCACCGATCACTGATCTTGTCACTATATTGAAGTGGTCTGAAATTTGTTTTTGATATTATCACTTCATATCAACATAATGCCTATTTAATTTACATGTTACTAATACCTAAAATAGCTCTCAATTGCGATTTCAAAACATTTTTTCGTATTTAAATGAAATCATTGCTAAAATATAACCTAACGCCGAGCGCTACTTAAGCGTCAAAACTAAATTAAATGTTGCCTCTAAATGATGCTAATTATGCTTAACAAATCAATTTATATGATTATTCAATGATCGTTGCTGTCAGCAGCTTGTCGTTTAACTACGAATAATTTTTTAATTAAATAGCGAACGCTAATGATTATCGCCTATCAGCAATATTTATATTCACTCTTCCAGCTGATTGTTAATACCTACTTCCGCAGATAATCAATTTTCTAGTTTATTACTCTCACATATTTAGTTGGTGATTTGTAGCTCATGCGCTTGGCTTTACATTAACATTTAATTGAACATAAAATACTCAATGGCGCTGCAAAATTTTCATTTAATCCACAAATTGATCATTCACCTGTCCAATCGCTCACTTAAATAAAATAAGCAGTTACTCAACAGCACACACTCAAACAGTTCATTGCTGCAGCTTTGTACAAGCAAACATTCGAAAGCTTCAGCGCTAAGGTCGCTGGCGTTTCGCTTTAAAGTTTGATAGCGCCGGCTAGTTTGGCATATTGTTAGCGTGTGTGTATGTGTGTTTGTTACTTCCTCTTCGTTTAGCTATAAAACGCTTGCACTCTTTCCATAGTGCCATATGCGTATCAAAACATGTGTCTATAAATAAATATATGCGCGTGTGTGTGCATGTGTTTATGAGTAATTGTTTTTCGACTGCTCCGTTGTGCTTTAAATGCTTCAGGTTTGACGTTTTATGCTTGTTATTATTATTGCTGTTGTGGTTTTGTGTTCGTCACAGTTTGTTCTGCAGACACTTAAACACAAACATACATATATATGGTAAGCATTCATCAGCTGTTTGAAAGTGGCTTAATTATGTTTGCTTGTAGCTATTAATTGGTCGCTCAGCTGTCTAAGCGCTCAGCATGTAATAGGCGTTTGCTATTTGAAAGCGTCGATCGTGTGTGTTTATAATTGAGGCGCCTGTGTTTGCTTATTTCAAGTGTTTGTTTGCGCATATTTTAATTTGTTGCTACTTTTCCTGTTACCCAGCAACTTGGTGCTTTGTGATTTGTTTAACTTCGTATACAGGTGCAGACTAAATACATAAAATAATTCTACATAGCACATGGGTATGTGGGTTAGGGTTGTTGCGTTGTTTTAGTAACGCAAGTAAGCTCTGTGCTGGCTGCTCTAAATTATGGCGTGTGATAGCATTTTTTATAGGCGATAGTAGTGATAACACTATTTTTCGAGGTTCTTGGGTGTTTAGCGATTTTTGAAAGAAAGCATGATACATGAATCATTTATACACTCTTATCATTGTTGATTATTATTTCGAAGTTTACAAGTATAATTAAGTTTTATTGTATTGTTTTTTATAAACTATTACCGTTGCCTTTTTATATTTTGAGTTTTCACTTATATCATATCGTTTAGTTTCTTATTATAAATTACTTATAAATTATCGCAGCAGATTTTTCTCGTATTTTCTTTGTCACACACGCAGCTAGCCCACGCTATTAATTATGTTATAGTTTCTTCGTATTTTACGTGTAGTTTTCTAATAACTCATAAATGTTGCTGGCACAAAAGGATATTATTATGTATAAATGTATATGTTTAGTGTACAAGTATATAAAATTAACTATTGGCGCCCAAAATCTGGCACAGGCCACATTAAAAGATCTTTGGCGATCACGCTGGCGCGTCGTGCTCGTAACTAAACAAAAAGCTAATTAAGCAACGCGTTTCGCTTCGCTAATGTTGGCCATTAGACAAGACAACTTAAAAATACCATAAAATACACTATATGCATTTTTGCGTTTTTTATCCTGCTGCCTGTATGTACATATGTATATATTTTTGGAATATTTTACAACACAGCACTTGCAGGATCTGTTCGTTTTTCATACTAAACACACGCTGAATTTCGTAAAATTATCTTCTCTATATTTTACTGTTGGGCTTTCGCCACACGTACCGTATTTTATACAATTTCGTTGTTTACTTTTTATTATGTTGCTATGTTATGTTGATTATGCGTTTAATTTTAAATTCAATTATGTGATGATTTTATATATTTTATTGACGATCGTTGTCGATCTTGTGCTGGACGATTTTCTGTGTTGATTTAAATTTTGTAAACCGTGCGCGTTTACTGCACCAGCGTGTTCGTTCGCTTCGGTGTGTAGTAGACGAATGTCGAACTGTTTTCCCGGTGACTCGCCAACAAAACTCACCCAAACGCTGTAAATCGACTCGATCGACTGAACAACCCAACAGCGACCAACAACCAAACGACGCGGCCGTATCTCCGTGCGAAACCGTCGACCGACCACAAATCGCTTGCTCGCTTATGTTTTATTGTTGACTCTCATATTTCGAGCGCATATCTCACACACACTCCTAGCGGAATAAAGAGCAGCTGCTAACATCTCTCAACCTGATTCGATGGGAGGCAAGCGGGCTGACAAATAACAAAAGCCGAAACAGCTGGTAGGCAGGTAAGGCGGCGATTCGCGTAGACAAGTCTCAGTTGTCTGTATGCATATACGAGCGCCGTAGCCGAGCATTACAACCACATATATGTGCTCACAATTACACGAATACCACGAATAGTTAATGCTGCAGTTAACGCTTACGAACAGTGCTCTGTCGCACCGAAAAAGTTAAGTAAAATAATTTCATCTAATGCGGCTATGGTAGCGTTATGGTAACGAAACATCGAGTGACCAAAGATATTTGGTGCAGATCATTATATTCTGAAAATGGTTTATTTCGAATCGCTTTTGGTTGGTAATATCAAAAAGTAGCATATCATAATAATTAGCAGCTATGTTCCAACTAAATTATTACTTAAAACTATTTGGGGGCATAACTTTATTAGCTTTGACATCTGACGACAATTAATGAGGACCTGCCCTTAGTCAAGGTATTCATGTGCACTGCACGCTGTAAGTCTATACAAAATTGCTCCAATTTTGAAATAAAGAGAAGAATATTTATTTTCTTTCAATAATTGATAATTTCTAGCAGCTTAGTCAGTGTAAGGCAGGTTGGTGTTTCACTATTTGGACATTTAAAATAAAATTATTCAGCTATTAATGCGAGAAGATTAATTTGCACTTATGAAATCAGGGCACGAGTAACATAATAATAACACATTTGGTCTTCAAACAAGATTTAACGTACGTCACTATAGCACATTTGGTCTTTAAACAAGATTTAAACTTTTTATTTGGTATTGAGTCAACTAGATGCAGCACTGATAAATTGAAGTTAAAACTCAATTTAAAATAAATAAACGTATTCCACATCTCCTTTTTAATGATATTTATTGGCAAATATGGGAATTTGCTAACTACAAATACTTGGAATTTAAAAAACTTTTCTTAAAAAAATTAAATCACTGTTTACGTTTATTCAAGCTTTGCTTCGTTTTCCAGATAAAAAATATGCTTTAATCGATTACCTGGTTTTATCGATTCTTTACAGCTAGGTTCCAACCACATATAATAATTATAATTATAAATACTAATATTTAATAATTATTATTGTTATATTAATATTATTATAATTTTGTTAACTTTACACAACAAATTTCTTTAATGAACAACACTGTTTTATAAATATCGTCGCCTTGAGTAACATGCACACGACTAGAGAAATTGTAAAATCTGCTCTGTGGTTACTGATGTCTCCTTATATCCTCGTACGTATTCAATTAAGTACATATGTTAACATTTTTATATATAAGAGCAGATAATGCATTTTGTTGAGAGCAAGAATGCAGTTGAGTGTATGTGCAACACATACACAGCCATACATACACACGTACAACGATCATGGTTTCGTTGACGGAGAGTGCAACAGGCAGGCTTTCAACTTTTATTTAACTTTTTGTGTACGTGACCAAATACGGGTTGCCATGTAACCGTGTTGTTTATGTAAAGGACAGATATGTTTGGCATATATTCAAGCATATATATGTGTAAAATTATTTTATACACTATTGATGATCAAATAATTATTTATTTGATTTATCAGATTGTACGCCACCAAGTATTAACTAATTTAATTATCTTACGATTTTTTCAAATCAAAAACAAACATTGCAGTTGTAACAATATTTAAAAAAAAATTATTTTGCTTTTTGTGGCGTAAATGGTTAAGATATTCGCTCGCTAGACCTTTGCTAACCTAAAAAAATTTATGTTTTATATTTTTTGTATTTTAGCAGAGGTGTATAGTGTTATAAAAACTAAGAAGTGCCTTAAAATATGTGAAATAATAATTACCAAGCCAATACCTTATGGTTGTGCTGCAACTTCATAAATAACGAATATTTATAACTTTAGAAAATCTGTTTTGTTTCTCTTTTAACATAATTTGAGGCAAACTATTGTAGTGCACATACCTATATATTATGATCTGTAAATAATGTAGCAGCACGCCCACATTTCTTGAACTCACTTCTGTAAAGCATTTCCTGTGACAATGGGTAACTGCCACTAATTGACAGCTTCCTTGGCACATATTTTAGTTTTCAAAAACTTACTGCAAATTAACTCAGTAACCCTAAGTCACGCTGTCAGCACACAGCAATAAAATAATCATAAATCAATTTCCATCGCTTGCAACTCCAACAATTAAAATGCTGTTGGCAGCTCTACAGCGGCTGGTGATCGGGGAGTTGATAGCAAGCGAATCCATGTATTTAAGTGGTGAATGTGTTGTTTTCAATTTGCCGGCAATTGTTGCAGTTGTTGTTGTCTAAGTAGCTGCGTACGTACGTATGTATGTATGTATATAGCCACTGTCTTGTCTCGCTGCAGTAATTTATGGACTGCACTGATTATAGACTTTCGGCCGAGCGTCAACAGTTTACACAGATGTTCCGACATTGCCGCTATTTTAAGCGCATACAATTTACATATCTGCGTGTAGCTGTGTGAGCGGCAAACATTTGCCTTTACATGTATGGTAAAAACTCATTACGAGTATTGAGTGAGTGTTTCTACTTATTTCAGTTTCTTTAATGCAACAAGCGTTTCGCGCTACACAACTGTGAGTGAGCGCCGCTCGTTGAGCATTGGAGCGCGCTGAGGTGCAGTCAACAAGCAACGCAGTCAACCGGTGTAACATCGACTGCGGGTCGGCTACATGTTTGGCCTGGAGTGGTCAATTTTTGCAACTTGTCTTTTTCTTTTCCATTATTTGCCAGGCCGGCTTTGTTCTACGCTGTGCGCTATTTTTGTTATCTCTTTTCGGCGATATTTTTGTTTCGGTGGAAATATGAACGCCTCCGTGCCGGTTGAATTTTCCTGCGGCAAACAGCAATTTCACGCATTTCAAAAACATAGCCGCCCCACACACACTCACTGGCACACAAACACGTGTGCAACCACAAATAATCACTTAATTTATGAAGTTTTATTGTTACCATTTTGTTTTGCAGTCAAACAATTGGCCGTTCGGCAAATTACTAGAAATCGGAAATGCCAATGTATTGTAGTTGCAGAGATAAGTGAAAAAGTTGTTATTTATAACAGGTTGCGGTGCCCAAATCCATAGAATACGCGTTTCCATAGCTTCCTATCAAGTGGTGAGTCTAGTCACAGCAGAAGCCGTGTAGGATTTGTAGTCTTTTGTAGTTTTAAAAAGTTTGTTTACGGTGCTTGGTACTTGGTACTTGGTACTTTCCATTCAAATGGTTATCTACTAAACGCTTAATTAGTTTATTAGCAGGATTTGCTTATCAGCAACACAATGCTGTCTTGTTCTACTTTGCGCCGCCCCATGCTGCGACCAAGCGCTAAAATAGTGACTAAGTTCAAAAACGCTAATCCAAATATTTTTACTAAGAATATTAATAGCTGTTTTTCAAGAAAATAAGAGGAATTTTAAAAATAAACTCACAATGTTTAGTTGTGTGTGGTACTTTTGGCACTTACCGGCCACAAATGTGAAACGCTCGGCTTAGAACTGTCGAGTATATAGGCATAAACATGCACATGGATGTATAAGCATATATGATGCACTATATAACTTCCAAAAGTCAATGAACTGTTGATCTTAGACACTGACGTTTCAAAACACAAATATATTTTAAAACTGCTTTGATTATAACTAGACAAATTTGGACTGATTTTTTATAATTAATATTATCTCCGCGTTAATTTGCATATATTTTGTGATTGTGTTATTGTTTTTCATTTCAACAGAATTTATACCCATTGTATTTTAGTTTCATTTCTCTTATCACATATACAGTTTGGTTGAAAAGTGAGTGGTGCTCACCAAGAAAAAGCACTACTAGCGCCAAATTGTTTTTTCTCATGTTGGTACATCTGTCGTGAGAACACATGCAAAGTAACAAGCCTTTCTGTCAATTAATTCTTTGTTCACAAGCCATTTGAAGTCAGAGTATTTTTTATAATGAAAAAATTGGAAATCGCGCAGTGATTAGATGCTTTGTTTTGAAATGTTTAAACGGTTTATAAGGCGTGCTCACCTTCAAAACGCACCGTTGAGTTTTGGGCTGGTGAATTTAAGTACTGGGCTTGAAGACGATCCACGCGATGGACGACCAAAAACCGCAACCACACCCGAAATCATTGAGCAAGTTCATAATATTGTTAGTGGGGATTCAAGCTTAATTAAGCGTGAAATTGCTAATGCCATAGGCATCTCAAACGAACGAGTACTTGGATCTACCGCCATGATCCTAAATTGAAACAAGCACATTTGCAGTGTACTGAAGCTGGATGTTCAGCTCCAAAGCAGTTGAAATCACAACGATCAGCAAAGAAGGTTATGACATCAGTTTTTTGGAATGCAAAAGGAATTTTGTTGATTGATTAGCTGCAGAAAGGTAAAATAATCAATTTTTTTGGAGCAGTTGGATGAAAAATTTCGTGAGAAAAGACCTGGTTTGCAGCACAAAATAAACATTTTTCATC